TAAGTAAAAATAAAACTAAAATTAAAATTGTTCGAAATATCAAGTAAAATATTTTTATTTTGGTTCTTGTTTTTTTTGGCTAAAAGGAATATCTCTTTCTTCTTCCTTTTAGCAGTTATTTTTTATATTCACATTATTTACTTTCACCCACCATCATCCATAAACACGAGGATATTATCTTTCATCTTGGATGAAGGATGATGTGCGAAGCACAAGGATAATTTCACCCAAATAGTGACACCGTGTTTAGGACGTTTTCGTGCCACCTCAATAGTCTTTTACCTTTTAACGATCTGCATATTATCAGATATACGCATAGATTAACCATACGCAAAAATCAATAAAACATTTATTAGTTTGCCCATATTTTGGGATTTATACCTTCTTAACTTATATGTACCGTGTACGTAATAATATTTCAACAAAGTTTTGATTCGAATAGATGCGCAGTTTATATTAGGAAATTATCCCACGGTCCCCAGTGATCATCCGTGACTTTTATGTTGATATTTTCATGGCTGATATTTTCCTGGGCTATCAGAAATTATACTTTATTAATACGTTTATTACATTGATTTACATACTGTAATTGGCTAAAAACTATTGCTTTTGAATATTAAAAGTTACATTTGAGAAAGTACAATTATTAAATATAGGAGTTTGAGAATTATTATTTAAAGAATTAAAAGAGATCTCTTGTAAAGGATGTTCTGAATTATTTTTTGAATTATCAGTAATATTAATTAAAGTATTCATTGTATAAGATTTCTGTTCTTCATTAATTTTTTTATATGCCCTAACACCTTCGACACTTTTATGTCCTGTCAATTGCATAATTGCTTGTTCAGAAATATTATTATCTTGTAAACATTGAGCAGCAGTTTTCAACCTGAATGGTTGGAAAGAGCATCAATGGAAATATCAATTTGTGTTCGCTGCCCAACGTCTTGCAACTTATTTTTTCCTACATGATTTGATTTATACCAGATACCAGTTTCAGTACAATTGAAATTAGGTTGTAAATAAAAATTATTTTCTTCACAAATAGGATGTTTATAAAAATATAATTTTACATCAGAATATAATTCTGAATCAGCAGGTATGGTAATAATATGTGCATTACCATTGTGAAGCCACGTTGATTATTTTTGGAAGTGTAACGAAAAAATTTTAATCCAGAATCATCAAATTTAATTTGCTTAATTTTAAGATAATAATATTCACCACCACGCATTGCAAGTAGAATTGAAGTAAGAAAAATACTCGGTATAGTAGATTCTCAGGTTCATTTTTGAATGTTGCATTTGTTCAGTATTTAAAGCTAATGAACTAGTTACTTCTCCTAATCCACGTTCTTGCAAGTCTTTCATTCTGCCATGTAGGACATTAATTAAATCTGGAAACATATGTTTGTCATGTAAATTAATATGGGAAATAGGAGAATGGATACGAAGATAACGGTCAATAGCATCAATTGCTTGTTTAATTGAATTGGCCTTATATTCTTTCCCGTCAATTTTTTTCACAATTGAAATGTATTCAACAAGTTCCTTTTGAAGTTATTTTGTATCCGATAGTTTAGATAATGGAACCAGGTATCCATATTCATTTCGAAAATTATTAAATTTTTTAATCCAATTTTTAGTTGATTTTTCAGTATTGAATGCTTTTGATTTTTCACGAAAATATTCAACTTTTTTGATTTATTTCTTCATGAAAATCTTTATTTGTTTCTTTAGTTTCTATTTCAATTTTAGTTTGCTTGTTTAACAAAGTTAATGCTGATTCAAATGTTAAAGAATTTCTCTTTTTATCCATAAAGAATTAAAAAAATAAATATTTATTATCCTTTTTTTTTTACTATTTTTTTTTGATTATTAATCAAAAGCTTTCTGAGTTTGTAGAGTTTTTTTTTTTATGCCATGAAAATTGTTTAAAAAAATCAACGGATGCTAGGTCCCGTGAGATAAAATAGTTATTTCACGGTATCTCCAGCTTATCATAATTTTCACGGCTATCGCCGTGAAAATTAATGATATCCCGGTGGAGCTTTACTAAGTTTATGTTGTAACCCCCCATGAATATCTAATAATATTTCAACAATTGTATTATGACAATCACTTCGATCAAATGACCTAAGATCTTCCCATATAAAATCATGCGTAGCAACTGCGCCCTTTAAAATGGCTTTCCAAATAAGTCGTTCACTACTACGCCCTCTATTTAATGGACCGTTTATACTACGCCATCTCCAAAAAAAAAAAACCTCCAACTTCAATAAAAAATAATTCAGTATGGTTAATTTTGCCATTGTTAATGATGTCATTATAAATTGTAATTTACTATTTATACCATCTAATTTGTTTACATTCTGAGCTATTTACGTTTTTGTTTCTTGATTTGAAAACAAAGCTTCCAAATTTGGATTCAATTTAACAATGCATTCATTATACTCAGATCAAGTATAAATTTAACCCTTTTCCAACAATAAATTTTGCGTGTTAGAAAATAAATATTTAGTTGTTGAAAATTTTGAGTATTTGAAATTCAGATACATTATAAAAAATTGCGATATGTCCGATCAATTGAAAATAGCAAAAAGACCAAAAGAACCCGCAAAAAATGGTAGAATTGTTCGAGTCAAAGTCAATTATTTAGAAGCTAAAGTATGAATTTTGTAAATTAATATAATAATAATAATAATAATAATGCACACACAAAATTTGAATTATAGATTTATTTTTTTTTTCCTAAAAAAAAATTACATAGTTCAATTTCCCTTCTGTCAAATCTTACTCTTTCGATATCGACGATGCAAAAAGAAAACCTTTGAAAAGAGAGAAACGTGATGAAGTGATGGCAGCATTTTTAAAGTCAAAATCTCCCGAAATCACTGCTGCGCATTACGGTAGCTCATTGTACTCTTATAAAGATATTCTTATCGGTGCCAAAACTACGAATTACAGAGTAATTACATTTTACAAAACTTTATCAGTTATATATACTATATTAATCAACTTCAAAAATATTAATAATATTTAATTATATTTAATTGCAGTTTGACCATAAAGATTGTTTGGGTGCTATACAAAATTATACCGTGAAAATTAAATTTTCCTCAGAAATAAATCTTGATACTGCGAAAAAATTTATTAAAGGGAACTCAAATTTGTCTTGGGAGGATATACAAGAAAATTTAAACGTTTTCAATTCTTATCTAAACACCAAAGTACATACTATGCTTCCCCATTTAAGCAGTAAATCCAAAGCAATTTTTCCAAAACGTCAAGAAAGAACCTTTTTGCCTGGTGGATCTGAAATTCTTTATGGTTATATGCAGTCTATTCGTTTAGGATGGGGTAAATAATTATTTAATTAATTTATATCTTAAAATTTTTTTTTATTTTTTTATTTTTTTAAATTTTTCTAAAAATATATATTGAATTTTAGAAAATTTATACGTCAATATCGACGTTTGTAATACCCTTGTCATTCCTGAGGGAAACTTACTTAACCTTCTTCCCGTATTCCTAAATCGTGAAAATTTCGACAGCAAAAATTTATTTGAAAATGAAATCGATTATTTAACAAGACGTTTAAAAGGTTATAAGTTTTACACAACTTATAGCCCAAGGAGTAGGACCATCACTAAGATATCTTTAGAATCTGCCAATAACCTAAAATTTGAACGAGATGGTGAAATGATTAGTGTTAGTGAATATTATAAAGAAACTGGAACCCCCTTGAGATATCCCACGCTTCCTTGTGTTGTGGTGATAAAGAAACAAGGGAGAAATGAGAGAGAAATGCATTTTCCTATTGAAGTTTGTTTGCTAAAATTTGGTGAGCTTTTTTTCTTATTCAAAAATCTTTATCGGATTTATTCAATTAAACCTATAATATATTGTAATATTTTCTTTATTCATTTAGGACAAAAAATTCCGCAATCTAGTATAACAGCTTCAATGCAGGGAGAAATGATAAATAAAACCTCAATTAGCCCCGTTAACCGATTTAAACATCTTGGATTTGCGATGAAAAAACACTATAACCATAATAATGATGAATACCTTAAATCCATTGGATTGAAAGTAGCTGATAAATTTGTGGAACTAGACTGTAATTTT